TGGCAATTCATCTCTTAGAAATTATGGATAGATACAGATAATTAAAAAAGTCCAATCATTCGCAATCCTAAAATTCCTGCCGACATTTACCGACCAACGATCTTGGTGCTGAACTATCAAGGTTTTTTGCAATTATCAAGGTTTGCATCAAGGGTAGATTTGGACCAGTAGTGCATATTGTTAAGATTAGCACCTTCGGTACTATGTGAAAAGTAACCCAAACGACATAAACCTTATAATGTAATAATAAATAACACAAAGAACAGATAAAACACGAAAACAAGTGAAATCAAAGACGAACTTTGATTAATAACTAAATGACGTTACATGAAATAAACCACTAGTTTTCGGCCATACGAAATTCGGTTAAATGTTAAAAGCTATATAACGGCACAAAATTCCTAGAAATTTTAATAAAATTATTGATTGTCCAACTTTCGGACATTCTAATCTGAGAACAACCTACGTATAATTAACCAAGAAATTCATAAAAATTATATGGATGGACAATAATGTTACATAAACACGTTTAAAAATTTATGACGTAATTTTTTTTAAGAAAACGCCTTAAATTCGGATGCATGAAAACTAAACTTAAATGTTTTGATATTTTAACGTAACCAATTTACCTCTTTTTGTTTCCTAGCCTACTACTATAATTTTTAGACTATATAATCCTAAGCGGCAGCCTAATATGATTTGTTCTCTTAATATTTCCGGTTAGGGAGAAGATAGAAAGTTGCGGTTTGTGCTGAAATTTTGGAAATTTTGTGCTGTGCAAAATGTGTGTAAAAAAACTGTGCAAAGCAAAAGCAAAAGCGCAATATCTGTTATTATGTCAAACAACGCCCTCTGGCAACCACGGAAAAATTTATGGAAACAAAATTTATACTGGAAATCAATAAGGAAGAAAAGTTCTTTTAAACGAGCCCTAGTTTGTTTAAATCGGCTAACCCAAACCAGAGTTATCTTTATTTTAATAAAAACAAGTTTAACCTTCCCCCACCACTTTATTTTATGAGATAGAGCAAAATCCTCTATATAAAAATTACAAATTTCTCGGTGATTACAATAGTAATATTTAAAATATCTGTTCACCTGCATATTTTTTAGAAAAACCCTGTTTTCTCATTGGCTATCAGAGAAACGCCCCCTAGCGAACATTTATCGAACTTGAAAATAATTTCATTTCCAGCGATTTCTCTTGGTCGATTTACTTATTAGAATTTTTTCCTAAAGTTATACGATAAGCAGTTTCTGAGATACAGCCGGCGTTCATTCTTAGTTGGCCTCCCGGTACAAAAACATTAATATCACTTCGAATTATAAAGCGAGGTCCTTACGAATATGCTTTAGTTATTATTTTAATAGGATAAAAACTTATAGTTTAGAAGAATAACTATTTCCATCAACTCTATATAACTATAAAATTGATAAAGTTTGTATTGCAGAAATATTAGATAAAGTCAAAAACATGTAGATTCTATAGTTTCTAGGGCATCTCCGAAATAAACCTCTATTCTGTTTCCAATTTTCGTGGGTTTGACACTATCTTGGCGTTTCTAGTTCAATAGCCATGAGCAAACATAAACCGCCTGTAATTTAAGGCCTAGCCACACACGATCGATACAAATACATGCTAAAATTAAACTTTTTTTGGACACAATAACGGTCGAAGGATAAAATGTTATATTTATGGGGAGAATAAAATTTGCACGGATTCGAGCCGGTTTAATAAATAGTTATTTCTCATTGTCATTGTTAGCGGATAATCTTTCTGAATATTTCAGTTATAATTAATGGAAACAATCCGACATAAACGAAATGGATAGTTAGAATGTGACGATAATTTGAATAAAAAGTAATTATTCATTTTGAGTTAATAATAGCAATGCCTCTTAGAAAAATACAAAATGATGTGATATGCAATTTAAAAAAAGTTAAAATAAAACCCACACTTTATCATCATCATCATCATCATTTTCAGCTTATTCAACCATTTTCAATTATTGTCTAACCTCCCTCACATACTTAGACCATAGGCGTAGTCAAAACATTTAACAAAAATATAAATATCTCTTTAAGCAGCTAAGTTAAAAAAAATATATGGCCATGGCACTGTTTGGTGCCATGGTAACAATTTGGTCTCGTGTGCTATATATCCTTGTATTCTTTAGTCATTGGGTTTAGATCAGTAAAAAAGGAAACAAAATATCTCCCATTTTATCAATTTTTAGGCAACTATAAAAACTTGATACGCCATCTAGCGCTCGAAGAAATTGCTATCTCAATTCAAGGTTATTAAAAGGTACAAACTTATTAAAGTTACAACCATTTAATAACCTTGATCTCAATTAACATATCGTTCAAGGTCGTATATCTCAGTTGACTGACCCTGAGTTAGATGCCATTGGCCTGGACGCTTTATGGAAAAATAAATAAAAAAGTTTTTCAGACCCTTACCAGTTCAAGTGTACGCGTCGCTTAACTTTTGTGATCGTTGGGGATCCGGTGTTGGAACGCAGCTGAGCCGTTTTTCGTGTAATTTTTTAACATTTAACATATTAATTTATTATATTTTTCATATTTTATTGCGAACGACAATATTGATGCAAATAAATTCTAAAAATATACATTTGTGGATAAGGGATTGAAATGTCTATTTTTGGTTACAATAGATATTACATGGATCCGTGCCAGTTTAATAAATAGCCTATTATTTCTGTTTGTCATAGTTAGGACTTAATTTTTATGAATTTTTTATTTATTATGGTAATAATACAGTAATATCTTGTTTATTTCGACAAACATTTTTCTATTTTTATCTTTGCTTTACAGCCCGAGTGATCATCGTCAATATATTTTATAAATATTCCAGAAACACAAATATATCTTTCTTTAATAATATATTTTCTTCAAAAAAATGCATTATATTAGCATAGTATAAGGAAACTAGTAGCTTTACTCCTTGTCAAATCCTTTGTTCTTTTTCTGCCACTTTATATGACCTTGTTCTCGCCTTCCGTGACCACTGACGTAGCTGTATAGTCGTGGTCTATTAACTAGGCAAAGTATGGTCGTGGCACTCGCCATAGTTTCACATATATGTATTTAGGAAAATATGAGTTCACAATAAAATAAAATAAAAAAAATGATCGAGTAAAAACTTGCTTGAAAACAGAATATTTTCACATTTTGTGTCGGTAGCAATTCTTATGTATCTGAAAATCTTCTGATGAAAAGAAATGCGGAAAAAATATATAACGACATATTTTTATATTTCTATTTCTTTTATTTTTCTATTTCAGAGATTTTCTACAACTTTTTTTTATTTAAAACAAGTTTAATTTTCTGTAGATAACTGGATTCGGCATAAAATTCTGGCATATAGTACACTGTCTTTATTTAAAGCACACTGCGGGTTTGCCATTCTATTTCTTATTTACTATAAGACTTTGGTTAAAAACATTATATACGAAAAGTGGTAAAAAAACAGAGTGAATATAACTTTATTAATACTCAGCTATGTTTTCTTAAACATGAAGGGTACCAGAATAAATTCGTTTAGAAAAAATTACTTTATCGTATACAGGGTGTTTTTTATAGCGTCACCAAAATCGTAATATTTAAAATGTTGTATCTCATTTTTTTTAAATGTAACACCTTGCATATTATTTTTCTTTTAGATGTAGAATTAAAAGGTGAACATTTTTTGTATTTAAAGTGTTCTTAAATTTTTAGCCGTTTTGCAAATATTTTCTGTATTTCATTACATATGGGATTTTCAACGATAAAATATCAGACAAAGATCATATTAGGTGGCTTTGATAAAAATTTACCGTTGAAAGAGCCATACGTAATATAATACTGCGAGTATCTGCGAAACTGTTAAAAATTTAGAAATACTTTAAATAAAAAAATGTTCACTTTTCAATTCTGCATCTGACAGAAAAATAATATACAGAATATTGCATTTAAAAAAATTGATATATACCATTTTAAATATTCCGATTTTGGTGGCGCCATAAAAAATACCCTATATAGAATGTAAATTTTTCTACGCGGATTTGTTATCCTTCTTTAGGAAAATATAGCCTAACACTTGGCTATATTTTCTTTATTAACACTTGGCTATAATAAAGCCAAGTGTTTATAAAGTTATATTCACTCTAGTTTTTTACAATTTTTCGGATATAATTTTTTAACCAAAGTTTTAGTAAACAAGTCATAGAATGGCAACACTGTAGAATGATTCAAATAAAATTAGTCTACTATATGTAGAATTTTATGCCGAATCCGATTATCTACAGAAAAATGGGAAGGATTCACTAAATTTATAAGAGATTATGCTATTATAAAATTCTTTCAATTAAAAAATAATAAAAACTAATTAAATATTTACTCTAAAATTGTTTCATAAACTAATCTATATAAATTATCTCGTAAATTATTATTGGAATGAAAATTTTATGGCAAATCCCCTGATCAAAAAATATTTTCATGTGCATATTTGAGACAACCTGTATATCTAAAAAACTATTTTTAAAATCTGCCCACATGCTAAAAAAAATAATTACATTTAATTAATTACATAATATCTCAGCTTCTAAAATAAACAAATATAATTAAATGTTTATTGATAATTACTATCAGCTTGCAGATTTACAATCCGTCTCTGTGCTGGGACGCAACACTCGAACCTCGCAGCTCGACGGACGGAATTCAACTGAAACGCTTTGCAATCTGCCGATATTCGACAGATTGCAAAAACTGGCAGGAAATATTTGCGATAGTGCAACTACTCTTTTCCTTAAACTATGATATTAGTTAACTTTTTGAAGAAGGCACTAGCATTTTCTCATAATTTTTACATTAAAACCATGCCTTTGCTTTTGGCCCTAGTCAACGGACCTATGCAATAGTGTTTATGATTTATGTAATGTTACTGTAAAATCGTATTATCATTGTCTGTTGGCTGCTGGGCAGTTACCCTAGTAGAGATGGTTTTATGTCCAGAAGTTGCATCCGCTATAGTTGCTTTAACTAAAGATGATAGAGATCAAAGTTATGTCGCTAACCGATTTAGGTGTGCACGAAGTACAGTACAGTCGTTTTCCCGTGACAAGTTTTTATGCTAGATTTATAAGAACCTTCGTTTGAAAACTTCGAATCGAGACGATATTCTTATTGTGTTTATCAGCTTTTCAAATTTATAATAAACTAGCGTGTACCAGCGACTTCGTTGCATCGAATTATTCATTTTTAATGGTGATGATAAAGCAAAGGAAGAATTTCCATTAACATACAAACTAGATCAAATTTTCTCACATTTATGTCAGCATGGGAAAAAACAATATGGCGATATTATTATATAACTTGGTAATATTTGAGGGGTAGTTTCATCTCGTTGGAATTTGACTTTCGAAAAATCCGTTTGCCAAAAATAAGCTTTTTACGTCAAGCAGTTCAAGCAGAATCGTGGTTAATCAATTACCCAACTTTTTGGAACACCCTGTATGTTTTTGTTAAAAATTTCAAAATACGTAAAAAACAAAATAAATTATACTTGTCCAAGCGTTTTCCCGAAAGACTAACCGTTTTTTAAATAACAAATATTGTAATATTTGAGGGGCGTTTTCACCCTCGTACCTCTACACCCCACAGTCAATCTGTTTGCCAAAAATCAGCTTTAAACGACAAGCAGTTTAAGCAGAATCGTGATTACTCAATGGTCATATTTTATGAAACACCCTGTATAAATTTATAAAAAATCTTAAAATATGTAAAATAACAAAATAAAATATACGTGTTTAAGAGTTTTTCCGAAAAACTCACCAGTTTTTAAATAAAAAATATTTTAATATTTGAGGGATAGTTTCATCCCCTTAGAATTCGAGTTTCGAAAAATCCCTTCTTATCGAACCTCTACACCCTAAAGTCAATCCGTTTTCCAAAAATCACTTAATGCTTCACTGCTTAAAGCGCTTTTCACGTCAAGCGCTTTAAGCAGGATCGTGATTAATTAATGACCAGATTTTTCGAAACACCCTGTATACATTTTTAAAACATCTTAAAATATTACAGTTGAGGGTTGGAACCTTTGGTGTTACACAGCAAAATAAAAACACTAAATCACCACAATACACCAAAACACTTTTACTTTTACACTGGACTTTTATTTTGATCTTAAAATATGTAAAAAACAAAATAAAATATACGTGTTTAAGCGTTTTTTCGGAAACTTGACCGTTTTTCAAATAAAAAATATTGTAAAATTTGAGGGGTGGTTTCACCCTCTTGGAACTGGAATTTCGAAAAATCCCTTCTTATCGAACCTCTACACCCTAGAGTCAACCTGTATGCCAAAATTGAGCTTCTTACGTTGAGTGGTTTGAGCAGGATCGTGATTAATCAGTATGTCAGTCATTTAAGGATTTTATATATTAGTATAGATTGCACCTAAGGAACGTATATGTAAATGAACGGACTGTAAGAAGTCCGTTCAAGGAGATTCAAGGAGATTAAAGGAAACAAATCTTATATCAAGAACATCTGGTTCGGGGCCACAAATTACTAGGTCTGATTACTAGGACCAAAAAAACCAAAGCAAACCAAAAATAAAGCTATTGAGATGAACCAAAAAATAAATTATCAAAAAAGGATGTACATAGATGATGAAATTATTTTTAAATTCCTTTTTCTTTTAACATATTCTAGAGGGTGTTTCAAACTTTTACCAAAATATCAACAATTTGTTTTCCGTCGTATAATTGGCAGATAAACTTTTTTTTTAATTTACAAAAAGAGATACTAAAAAGTCAAATAATTTAGCTACATATTGCTTATAAAATCAAAAAAATCGACAAACTAGAACAAAATATATTAAACTTTAAAATATAACAAATTTTTAAGGTGCCTGTTTTTTGTGCCTGTGAGTGTACAGGGTGGTCGAATTGGTCTGTTTTAACAGAAAAACCCCATTTCTTGACTAGATAGAGCAAAATCGACGTAGATGTCATGGGCTCGATTTGTGAGATACGTTTAATGGCGTAAACCGCCTCACAGTGGGGTATTTGACACTGATATTTGATCGAAATTTTTTTATGTAGACCTTATATAAATTATTGCTATTTTCAATTAAAGAGGAAATAATATGAACAAAATAAAGGATAATTCGTCGATTCTAAAAAAAGAAAGAAAAATCACTGTTCCAGTGTTTCCACGGTCAGTGCCAGTAGTAATATCGCAGCTACTACTACTAATGCTACGACTGATCCGCGAGCAAGGCCTATACCACTAAAGTCGCTACTAATGGCAAATTGTGCTATACTGCTAATGGCACTAATGCGGTCGCTTTGTACACAACAATGCCATCGCGGTTTACACCTCGCCTTAGTATATCACTGATTGGCAAATTAGAGGAAACCAAGAATGTTTTTTTCATTTTATCAGCAAAATCGCAAAAAGTCGCAGTATTTTATTTTACTGTATGAAAGCCCAATGTTTACTAAGTAAAACGTATATAGACAATATGCTGAATTCTTCTAACTAACGAACTAAATCTCTAAGTATAATAAAAATGTCACAAATTTAATCAAATTTTCTGAACGCCTAACTTTTAGTTGCAAAACAAATCGTTAGTATAGAGAATATCAAAATAAATAATACGATTTTGTAGAATACATACCTGCAGCTTGCTGAGCCATTTTCAATCAAAACGATAATATAAACGTAAAAAGAGCACAAGAACAACAACAATTTATAATTTTAAACATAAAATTTAGCATTTACCTCTTATCTGTGAGAAGTAACAACTTTGACGTTTCGTTGAAACAAATGAATGCAACTAAACACACCCATAGCAACGCCATTCATTGCACAGATGATTTAACTTATCATTTATCTTTTTTTGGGAAATCTTAAACACATTTGCTTTTTCGAATTTCGATCACCTTTTTCATGCTAATACCCCACCGTGCGCCTGTTGATATTTTTACTGCTAACAGAGATAATTTTTTTACCATTTTGAAAATTGCGCGTAACTTTTTTATTTTGCGGAATAATAAAATTCTGCAAAAACGTTCTTAAGGCACTTTTTTAAGCAAAATCCAATGGCGTAGTCAGTTTTTCTATGCTTGCTCTTTTTGTCAGAAATAATAAAAAATATGATTTTCTAAATGGAAATCATAGTTGGCTATGAACTTAAAATAATGCTGACGTTTAACCCTTTCCAACGATATAAAGTTATGGGTATCTATTTCTAAGAACGAGAGAAATATTAGGTTTTTTATCTTTATATCGAAGCAGCCTTTGATTTTGTGTTGACCTATTTGCTTAATTATTTTTTATCACAATTTAATAAATATTCTATATTATTATTTATCTGCATAATTAAATACTTTTGAAAAGGTAAATTAACACACATTCTATTTATATATTATTATTACTAATAATTACAACTGAAATCGACACAATAAACAAAGAACAAAACTAAAGAAACGTATTTGTTGAGTGACGAATATGTTTTTTTAAAAATTCAAAGATGTTCAAACTGAGCACCTCCTTGTTGAATACACAATAAACATCTTTTGCGCCCAGAGTTACAGCGATTTTGCCTTCGGCAATTCCCCTCTCGTCCCAATGGTTCTTCCCTTATAAGGTCTTTTAATTTCCCCCATAAAAAAGTCGAAAGGATTTAAATCACAGAACCTAGCAGGCCAAGATGGGCCCCTTGTTCCAACCCAATTCTCTCTAAATTATCCATTTAATAGTTCAGTTGTAACCCTGGCGTTTTAATTGTAATTGGTAATACTAATATAGAACGTTGATTTACCTTTTCAAAAGTTAGTTCATTAAATTGTGATAAAAAATAATTAGGCAACTAGATCAACACAAAATCAAGGCCCGCTGCGATACAAAGATAAAAAACCTAATATTTCTCTCATTTTTAGAAATAAATACACATAACTTTATATCGTTGGAAAGGGTTAAACGCCAGCATTTTTTTAAGTTCATAGTCATCTTTAATTTCTATTTAAAAAAATATATTTTTTATTATTTCTGACAAAAAGAGCAATTATAGAAACAAACTGACTACGCCACTGGATTGTGCTTAAAAATGTGCCTTAAGAACGTTATTACAGAATTTTATTATTCCGCGAAATAAAAAAGTTATGGGCAGTTTTCCAAATGGTAAAAAAATCAAAAAGACCCCGTATCTCAGTTGGTAGTGAACATATTAATAGGCGGTTTACGCCATTAAATGTGTCTCAGAAATAGAGCCCATGACATCTATGTGGGTTTTGCTCTATCTAGTCAGGAAATAGGTTTTCTCTGTTAAAACACACCAATTTCGACCACCCTGTATATCTCGGTGTATATGAATTAGTGAAATCTTTAGACAGTATCTATAGACTTACCAATTTTATTGTTCTGTTTTTAATTTCATCATAGTTAAAAATTTTAATGATAAATCCAAGATAATAGAGTTTATTTATGGTTTCAAAAATATTATTTTTTTACATCTGTAACTCATACACGGCTATACTTATAGAAGTTGAAATTAGAGCTCGGAAATGAAACTGCAGAAATACTTACAAATTTATGTAAATTCTTGGTTCAGTTTATTTATTATGCCATTTGACTTATGTATCTTTATTATGGTTTGTTCATTTGTTGGAGTTTGTACTTATCCTTTGAAAAGGTTTCTGGGGAAGTAATGGAGTTTTCGCTCTCCTTTCTTGAAGATAAACTTTTAAGTAATATCGCTCTAGGTAGTGTAAATTTAATTCCTTGAGGAAAAGTTCATCAAATATATCTTAATTTATCTTATCTTTATAAAATACGTTTCTATTTTCGAAATTTATAGAGCACGTAAATGTTAATTAGTAGGCAAGTCATTAGTGAGATCAGAATCGGTACTTAGTATTTCTAAAGTTCGGCCTACACTTAACATTTTACTTTCCGTTTTGACTGTCAGTTAAAAGGGATACCATTTATATGTATAACTAGTTATTTAGACGGTCTTTCGTTTTCTGTTAGTGTCGTTTTACCTACGGTTTCATCAGTTAAAACGCAACGGAACATTTTTCATCAAGTGTTA